TCGCTATTGCTTCTTTCCGCCGGTTTGGCTCAGAAGGAAAACACGTTTTGCCACACCAACGCATGGCTCGCTTGAGCAAACTTCTTGCAACACCACTTGGATCAAAACAGTGCCAACTTGGATTCATGATTGGACGCACAATAATCTATTTTGGGAGCCCTAGCTGTAGCCAAGGCACGGTGAGTAAGTACGTCACCGTGCTTAACTCCAAAGCAAGCCAAAAGGATGAAAGGACCAGGGGCAAAGCAGCCCCCTGGCTTGCCTAAAAGCTTACCCTAGACTGCTTCGCAGTCTCTTTGCAAGCCCAGACCCTGAGAGAGAAGCTGTGTGGTGAAGCGCCGTTCGCTGGCTAGGGCTTGGCAAGAGGAGTGGGGCAGTCGGCAGTGCAAAGAACTTTATTCACTGGTCCTGATGAATCAAGCCCCTGCCCCCTTTTTGGGAATCAATACGGAGCATGTAAGAAATCTCGAGATCGGGAACAGGGCTCCAGCCCCCAACCAAGAAAAGAGTGGAGACAGGGATCAAGGAAAGCAACAAAAAAGGACAAATACAAAATATGGCAAAACAAAGGTCAGTTCAAAGTTCCAAGCAAACCAGAAATATACTTATTATAGCAATACAAAATCAAACGATGCGGCCAGGGATATTTGTTCTAGGATCTTCCTTTGCTAGGGGGAGGACCCTTCCACAGGTTCGCGGCTTGTCGAGCAACTAAGAAATGGAACGTATCTCAAACTTCCTTATTCGGATCTAGCAGAGAAGGAGGACCCAACCAAAACCAAAACCGACACATGCGACAAAAGTTGGAGCGCTCCACCTGCCCTCGTGACCCCAAAATGGGCTTTGCCACCCTTGTGAGTGAAACACGTTGCTTTAGCTCCAACTAAACACGGACAAAACCACCACCAACGAACGCCCAAACGTCGCCACCAGGGGACCGCAGGGTTTAGTCCACGAGTCCGGGGTTCCATTTTGGGTACCTATTTTTGACCCACAGAACACAGAGAGGCGCCTGGGCCGTTTTGATCTTTTAGTTGACCTGAACACCCGCGCAGTCGAACTCATTTCGAGGCCCGCCTGCAACCCTTCTCCTTGACCACGCATGCTACACGCGGAGCGAACGCATGTTCCAGCTCGTCTGGAAGAGATACCGATGGACTATGCGATGCTGTTTGGAATTCGGGAAATATACATTCTATCCAAGGATGAAAGAACCAAATTCCAGGCCTTGCGATTGTCATTCTCGCAAAATCTATTTTGATGATTCAGGGAAGAAGGATCGGTGGTAAAATACGGGTCTGGAAACCAACATGCGCGCACATAACTCCATGTTGGTTTCCTTTAGGTAGGCTACAGGAAGAATTGCCCCGCTCATTTGTAAAATCATCCGTCAGACCTTCACCTTCCTTGGGAAGACGGGTATTTCAATCTTAGCCGCTGGCTTTCGCCTGAACCACGCGGGGGAGGCTGGGGGCCCAAGCGAGGTCGCAGCCACCAGAGCCACAGGAGCGAGAGCCTCGGCTTTTTGGGTCGAGCTGCAAGGGAAATGTGAACCAGGACCCCCCCCTAAATGGCTGGCAAATGGTCCGTGGAATGACCTCCCAATGGCTGTTTTGGGGCTATTTGCCAGCCATTGGGGGGGTTCCTGGAAAAGATCTTTATGCCCTGAACACTTCAGGAAGATACGGGCACCTACAACAAAATGATGCAAAAGCAAGCCCCGAAGCAATAACCTTCCTTGAAGAAACCTGCAGTAACGAGCAAACAAGTCAACATGGAAGGAACGGTTGCTTTCCCGGATTCAGCCTTGTTGTTCGTCTTGGCAAGTTGATCCGGAAGCGGGTTGTTCTTCCTAGCAGTAGCCCATGGCACCAAAATCCTACGTGAAGCCTATCCATGCGAAGCTCGAGAAGCTAACTTTAGAGCATGAGAAACTCAGGAAGTCGCCTTCAGCCTTGGGGAAGCTAATTCTGCATCCTGGGGCCTAGACGCTCGCAGCAAGCCATGACTAGTCCATGAAAGTTTGTTCATGCTCATTTTAGTCGGCTTCAGAAGCTGCAACTGCGACACAAACATGCGTTACAAGCCAGAAAGTCCACTTAGTGAAGACGTGCCAATAAAGAGATGGAAGCCATCTCAAAACTGCGTGAAACATTCCTGGGCCATGGGGGCCCTTCCGAATGCTTGGCACGTGCATCTCAGCAAAAACGAAGAGGGAAACCAATGTCCCCAGGGCTGCGGGCATTGGCCTCAGCAAAACGAACAGGGAATTTTGTGGGCAAGCGAGTTCTTTCATTTGGTGCGAACGGCGGTGTGCAGGCTTGGAGGCGCCTTTCTGACAACAAAACGACGAATCAGATCACCAAACCAGTCTGGGGGCCAAAAAAGAGAGAGGAAAAACAGGCTGCTCCACACGACAAGCTCGGAGCATTGGCAGTTAAAGTTGTAGCCTCTCAATAACCCCATCCCAAGTGACAAACCAGATCAGAAAACTAGTTTCACACCTCACCTCCTTAATGCCGCCGCTGTCTGCAAGATTCTTGAGTTCAACCGCAACAGCCCAGAGAAAACAAAACACGCCGGATGTTCCCCGCATCCCGAGAGCACTCGCCGCTGGGATTCCCACCATCACGGCTCGAGCCCGAACTGGGACGCCGATTCAATCATGTCTTTTTAGGACTTTGGCCTGGCGCCGACACCTTTTGGCCCTCAGAAGTAGTAAGCAGAACCAAGAAACAACAAAACAATCATATGCATATATGCATATGTATACATGTATGTCATAGACTTGACCTGTAAACATGCACATGTTAAAATAGGACAACCGAACGGCAGTAAGAACTGGGCCTAAAAGTTGGCAACTTCTTTGACGCTCGTGTGCGCGAAGGGCTCGGGCTTTGCTTGACTCAATTACTAGCTTAAGAGCCAATCCAGCATGTGTCCAGCATGGCTCAAAGACCCTGTCTGGAAAGCCACCTCGTGCGACGACTTTTTCCAGGCCACCTTCCAGAAATGAATGTTGCACTTTGGATGCCTTGAGCCAAAGCAGCTCTGAACGACTGAGGGCCTGAGGGCGAACTCGAAGGCGAGAAAGCAACAACAAATCCGTGCAGCTTCTCCAGAGGAGCGGCCTCCTTGTCTCAGTGCTGTTTTGGAAACTGAAATCGTCCAAACCCAACAAGTGGCCAACTGGGTCCTCCAGTTTTGGAGGTTAGGATAAGGGTACCCTTTCTTTCTGTAGTCTATTTTACTAGGGGAACCCTCCCAACCAAAAAAGGAATGAGAAAGGGCACCTAGCTGGGAGACCTAACGCCCGTTTTCGCGCGCCGCGGGGTCGCGACCAAGCCTCGGCTTTGCCAGCTCTCGTGGGCCTACCTCTGCAGGCTCCAGACGTCACGATGCAACCAAACACATCCCACTAGGGGCACTAGGGGCATCGACCCGACACCTGAAATCAAAGTGCGATGAAAATGATCCAACTCAACTGCAACCTGCCGCGGCGCTACCCCTGCCAACCACTGTGGCAAGGGAGATCACAGTGAAACCATGCAGCCATATCAGCTGCTTCCGATTGGGTGCTTCCGGGCCACAACTCAACCCTGCTAAACTGCTAAACCAGGTGTCCACGCGAAACTAGTTGGCCAATGAGGAAACGCGATCTAGGACATGGCCCGAGGGCTCCATTTCTTGGCTCAAATGCCCACATCCGAATCGAGAGCCTGGAAGCACCCAACCGGACTCACTCAGCTTGTGCACGGGTCCAAACGCCTCAGCGCAATCCCAAGGGCAAGCCAAGTCCGAGAGCTTCTTGGTTGCGAAGGATCTACCCAAACGTCAACCAGAGTACAAAGGAACCTCAATGAGAAATGTCCAAAAAGGCTCAAAAGGTGTTTGGATCACTAGAGGAATATCTCCCAGTGATCCAAGAGGCCGACAAGTCAAATAAAGAGCCTTGGCACATGGCCACGGCAACCTTCCCAGAACCGAGCGATTCCCGATTGCCATTCCCGGACATCAATACCGACTTGCGGCATCTCATGGGCTGCCTCGGAATCAATTTGGGCAACTCGCAGGAAAAGACAGACTAACTCTTGGTTGACGTTGGAAGGAGAGCAAAAAATTAAACTTTAGCAGTTAATTTAAACTAAACCACAATAAGCTGTAAAATGTTTCCCAACAGCAGCCATGAACTGAGTTCAATCATAAACGACTGGATCATTGCCCGGCAGCAAGCAATGAGAAATACAAAGCAATGCCAAAATCAATGCCAAATTCGAGCCTCCGTGCCGCAGAGCTTCCCTTTCGCCAAATCAAGCTAGAAAAACCATGTCTGAACACATGTCACGCAACCACTCCATATTCCAAAGTGGCTTCGGCCATCAAAAAACGACACTTTGGCGGCTTTTGGAGGCGGGTTGCCTTGAACTCTGAGGGAGCAGGGGGCCTAGTTCATTCAAAAGCTTACTCCTTGGAAGTGAAGGACTTTTCAGGAATGTGGTCAGGGCTGTGGGATCCGATTGTGATCCCTTCCTTGGCGAGCCCCCTGGTTTCTGTGGGAAGCTTGGTGAGCTCCCCAAGTCTCTGACTGTTGCAAGACTCAGTTACCAACGCATGGCCTCCCATCTCTGCTTCGACACTTGCTCAAGACCCGATCAAGACTCCATGTCGTGAGCATGGTGAACAATCTCAGCACTACAATAGATTTGTTTGTTGGTTTCATCAAGCAGGAAACAAGGGCTTTGCTACAAATATCCATGACGACCATTCAGCCAACCCCATCCCCGCGCGCCCAAAGCTTTTTCCGGCATATCTGACCGCATTCTGCGCCCGAGCTTGGCGGACGGCTGAAGATGAACTTGGCTCTCAGTTGGGAGTCAAGAGGGACTTTGGGAACGAACCTAGGCATCCCTTCGAGGAAACGACAAGGAATGGTTCATGAAGATATGCCCTCATTCCTTGCTGAGAGACAGCTCAGCACTGACTCAACACCTGGAAGCTTGTCAGCCAGGCGGACCTGCATGCAGGCGGTTGCCAGAGTTCTAAGAAGCAAATCTTTGTACCTCCAACCACACACCAAGGCAAAGTTGGCATACCTCCAGTGTGCCACCCTGAAAGGTTAGCCATTCCCCCACAGGACTTGTGTATAGGTTGCTCATGGCAACGCACTGGGTATCAAGGGGCCACACGCTCAGGGTGTGGCTCTGGCTGCGCAAAACACTTTTCCCGCGCTAGCGAGCCATGCGCTTGCTAACACTTGGCGCAAGTTTACCCTGCAGAATGTGTGTTTTGCGTGTTTTGCCGGCTTGCCGATGAATGAAGCAAGATGGCATAATCACGAGGAACGCAAGAGCCGGGGGGTACCTTGCAATTTAGCAAAGCACACACACAAACACGCACACGCATGTGCATGGTCAAACTGCTCCTTATTTGGGGATCCTACTGCGAACTCTTCCTGAAACTGCTGATATCTGGCATGCTTTTGTCAAAGAGCAGATGATGATGTACCACGTATATAAGCCGCATAAGGTTCAATGACCAAGGGCAAGTAAACTGGACAGCAGGCGTCCTTTCAAAGGCAGCACAACATGTGCCAAGACGACTCTGCAACTACAGGAGACATCCTTCCAATACCAGCAGAACATGTGGCCAAGCCAACTCTGTGGTTTCCGCATTGCATCTGCCAAGATAAAAGACTAGCCAATCGTACCATTGGAGACACAAAGTGGTCTAAAGGTCGAAACCTTCTGGGTCAAGGGAGTTTCTGACAGGCCAAACTATGAATCGGGGGTCCCTATGGCAGTGACGAAGCCCTATGAATATTGGGACACAATTATCAACTGGTCTAGCATTTCCAAAACTCCACCCCATTAGAGGGACCCGCCACCCCTACTATCAGGAGACTCAGCCACAAATGGTCCAAACACGGCTCACCTTAAATGAGCCAAAAAGGTGAGCAAAACCGCCACCTTGGGAAGATCAAACGCAGGAGGTATTTTTAGCTACATGAACCTCTATTGGGTAAATTCCATTTGAGAAGGGGGGGGAACCAACCTTGTCCGGCAACCCCCCTTATCCCTAAAGCCGACCAAAACGCAGGTTCCCCATTCGCCCCAGGGAGCTCAGCCACATTTGGCTAGCATCTAAACTGATGTTTGGGCTGGCGAAAACAAGCGGGAGGTGTGTTGTTTATTTTTTGAACTGGAGCCCCAAATTGGCGGGCTTCCCTGCAACTGTCTGTTTGGAAGCAACCAAAAGGAGGGGTTGGTACCCTCACGAAAAGTTGGTTGACAAAAAAGCAAAAAATGCAAAGTTGCCCAAACAACAACCATGAAAAGCTGAGATCCCTTCGGTGGGGACCGACACCGCGGCCCGGCTCGCGGCTGGCTCTGCCTGGCGCGGTGAGATGGCCCAGGAGCTCCGGCAGGCGCTGCCACTGCCGGCCCAGGAGGCAGGCCTCGAGCACCTCACGCGGGATGCGTCCCAGTGGAAAACCGGAGCTCCAGTTTTCTGGTTGGCTGGTTGGGTCGGGTCGGCTTGGGTTGGGTTGGGCCGGGTCGGTTAGTCGCTTGTCTGGTTGGTTGCTTGGTTGGTTGCTGGGTTGCTTGGCTGGCCGCTTGGTTGCTTGGTTGCTTGGTTGCTTGGTTGCTTGGTTGCTCAGTGAGGAGGTAAGGCAAAGAAGGATAAGGCTAGCAAATGGGCAAGCTTAAAAGTTAACATCCCACCGCAAATATGGCACTGAGTGGGGGTGGAAGACACGTTCCATTTGGGATAGGTTAAGCCAAGCACCGTGCGTAAGCTCAACCCCGGGCCGCAGCCAAGTGTTGAGCATGCTACTCTTTGCTGCGAACGGTGGTATGCCTTCAGGAATGAGATCGTCAGGTCTGGTGACCATGCGCCCTGGCTCTAACCTTCCTTTCGAGCGAAAGTGGGCCAAACGTCAGGCCCTTGCCTTCCCTTGAGCAAATGAAGGTTGCACGCTGAGAGCGGGTTGTCATCAGTCATCATGATACATATCGTTTTCAAAACGCAGTCACAAGCACCGCGCCGTGCTTTCGTCGAGGCCTAGGCAAAAAGACTCCACACTTCAGGAGTCTTTTAAGCCGGTTCTGTGAGCCCATGGCTCAACCCTGTCTGTTGGATTATTGTATTCAAGGGCCGCGCCCCAGCTGCGCTCAAGCATCACCAGCATCACCTGCGTAGCCTGCATCCCCAGCATCTGGGCAGCCCGAAGGAAACTCGACCCCTTGCATCCCTAGCATTCCTACCCGCAGGGATTCTGCGTTACCTGCCTCCGCAACTGGCTCCAAGTTTGCATCCCAGCAACTCATCGGCATCATCAGCAAAGCCCCAGCCATCTGCATCCATCGCCGATGCCTCAACATGCCGCAAGGTGCCCCGGGCCCAGGGCATCGCTCACCTTCGAAAGCGACAAGTTGTGCACCGCCAGATCACCTGCATCACCATCTGTCCAGCATAAGTCTGAGCAAACATTTCCATCGATTCCAGTGTGTTTTGCGGGTTTTTGGCAGCGACCCAGCTGGCTGCAGCCAACTCCAAGACAACTTCAATGCCCAACGAGCGGTTTTTCCCTGGGCCGGGATGCTGCAAATCAAAGTCGGCAGCTCGCGGCGGCCCGGTAGCTTGACCGACTTGCTGAAGCTCGCTTGCGAATTCGCCCCGCATCTAGATTCAAAGGCTTCCCCACTCGCAAAGCCGAAGGGCCCGGGTCCCCTCGCCCCTCAGCAAGTGGGAATTACTGAAATCGCAAGCCTTCACCTAAACAGTGGCTTTTGGCGGCTTGGACGTTTGGGGCACCTATGGCCAATCCACCCAGGTCCTCCAGTAGAGAGGTTAGAATAAGGGTACCCTTTCTTCGTCAGCCTAATTTAGTAGGGGAACCCTCCCCCAAAAAAGAAACGGTAAAAGGGCACTACTGGGGGACCTAGCCACACTAAACAAGGGGCGACCTCACAAAAGTTGCTTGAAACATCTTGATCTTCCAGGACCCTGGAAAAGCAGGCCTTTGGCCGAATTCCCATTTGGAGCCAAGATCAAAATCAATAAGGAGCCTGGTCCGGTTTGGCGGGTCCTTGGAAGACCGAATCCGAAAAAAGCCTTGAGCCGAGCTCGGCGCCATTTGCAGCGTGGGCGGTGACCGCAGGAACTGCTCCAATCGCATGGCCTGCAGTCAACAGACAGCCATCCAGCCCGGCCGACTGCTGCTTGATTCCCGAAACATGTTGTTTCTGGGCTGCCCTCAGATCCCCCGCTGAAAGTTTAACTTTTAGTGGGCTAAATGGAAACTATCACTAAACACGTAAAGGCCAAAAAGCTGAGGGGATGGCTGGGAGCCACCGAGGTTTGTCGCCTTTGTTTACTGAAGGCGCAAAGTCTGAGCTGCTCGTTGCTCTTCGGGAATGTGGGAATCAACCTCCCAATCCCCGACACGAATCCCGTAAACACCCAAACATTGGAAGCAAGGCCAATCGCCTTGTTCCCTGTGACTTGTCCCGGCCATCGCGATAAACAAGGAGTTGTGCCAGATCCCAAGGCTCCCATGACTGGCTTAGAAGTAGCCAACACTAAACCAATTCTAGACCAGCAAACTTTCCCCCGACCCCAACTCCAGTCGTACAGTACTATAAACTAGTTCTTAACCGAGTCTGTTGACTTATGACTAGGACATTCCCCGTCTACTGAAGCTAAACACAAACCCCTAAACGAAAGAACAGACTGCCCCTAAATAAAGCCAAACATGTTGCACGAACACATATGTTTGACTTTTGGACAACTTGTTGATTCTAATCTTTCGCGAAGCCACCAGCTTTCCTCCATGGAGCCAACAAAAACACAACTTGTGAATGTCCCTGATCATGACGCTTGCTCGGAGATTGCTTTTGTTTAAATGAACAACCTGTTGATAAATATTGTTTTGCGCAAATGGCTTCATTTCACAAAGTTCGGCACGCTGCTCACACCGTGGCGGCTTTTGCACCTTGCATGGTGACCCACTGTGCTTCCTCCAAAGGGAGTCCTGGTGCCCTACATCACCTAACGAAACTGCTCAGCTCATTGCTCGCAAACCAAAGGACGCCCTCCAGAAATTAACAAGGCCATGTATTTCCCCCTAGTTGGCACTCCCATTGTCCATCCACACAAAGGGGGACTGTTACTGCGGCCCAGTGAAACTGAAGCTAGGCCGTTTGTCAAATGGACTGCGCCCTGCGGCGTCTGTGCAAAGAAACTGCCGTAAGCAGTCTGCACATCATCCTATGTTTGCTGAGCCCCCCCCCCCCCAACGCCCCAACAGTTCTTGCATGTGTTGCTTCACGTCCGGTCGCTTGCGCGCTGCAACACGCATCTGACCTCTGCAATGGACTCACTGCTCTATGTTGGTGCACCATTGCGCAAAGTCTCAACTGGTGCCCTCAACTCACTTTTTGCGTGGAGCGCCCAAACAGTAATAATGAACATGCAGTGTGATGGCACTAAAGCAGGTGGTCAGCTTCCCCAAAAGTACAAACTCAAACAACTTGGAGCGAGTCAAACTCACTACGCTTGGCATCGCTTGGCATCGGGGATCGGGGATCGGCCGCAGGAATCCGCCTCGCGCCACTGCAGACAACGCATGCACGCGCTGAGGCAGGCCTGAGGAAGCACAGGGTCCCTCCCCGAGTTATCTAGGGATTCCTTGACTGATTCCCAAAGCCTATGCACGGAACCCTGAGTGAGGTCTCTCTGGCCCATCCTCGCTCCCCAAAAATCCGATATAATAAGGTCTTGTGAAAGCCTGTTTTGGAGGAAATCGGGGAAGAGAAATCGAGGAAATCCGACCAACCGCAAGAAAGCAGAAGAGATCCCAGTTTAGAATAAGGGTACCCTTGTTTCTGTAGTCTATTTTAGTAGGAGAACCCTTGCCAAAAAAAGGGGACAGAAGGGCACCTAGCTGGGGGACCTTGTCACGGCCAAAAACGGCTCCGCGAAACCGCCCGAATCGCCATCTTGGGCGCTGCGTAGGTCACCTCATCACATTCCACGCGGCCCAGGAGGTCCACAGCGCGGCACCATTGACGCCCCGTCCTCGGCTGGCTCGCTCGAAGCGGACGGCACGGACAGCTGCGCTTTTTGGGTCACGGCCCCGGAGCTTCGTACGAACAACCGGGGGATCGGGGGTGCTTTTTCTTTTGGAGGGCGGAAATACCTTTTTTGGGGTCCGAGTCCGGATGCACCCTTAGGACTGCAGATTGCTGGGTGGCCCAGAGGCAGAATGAGGGGAATTCCAAGCTGCCAATGTCGGATTTGCTTTTTGGCTTTGCCAAGGTCCGTCTAATTCTCACTGGCCCACCGACCAGCCTTGAGTTTTCGGAGAGGTTCTTGGCCTGCTCAGAAAGTTGGTGGGTTCCAAGTACCTTGCTTTGGAAAACGGTTTAGGCACCAACCAACCGGAAACCGCTGCATCTGGCCCCTTCAGAAGGTTACCCAAAAGGAAGCCAAACACTTTTTGGGGCGACCAAATCCAAGCGCGGATCCCGTGGGAGCGATGCAAAGTACTTAGTACTTGCCTCCCGGCACCCATTCTCGGGTGTGTTGCCCTAGGTATTATAGCACAGTAGGCCACTGCCAACAAGTTGGGGTTGATCCTCTTTCGAACGCTCAACTGTAAACTCTTTGGCCAAACTGCAATACACTTTCAGTAGCACAGGGCCGTGGCACAGGGTGATGCGCGTTTGCTTCCCGACTGCTAAAGCCCATGAACGGTGGCTGTCATAACGGGCCCCCTGGCGGACAGCTGCATGTCAGGAGGCTGTCTGCAATTTCCATTTGGGCTGCAAGAATTCCAAACAAGCCAAGAGGGAGCTCTCACCAGTGCAATTCCAGCTTGGACCCTGGGAAGACAACTATTGGTTGAGCAGGCCAAGAACCGCTCCAACAACTCAAGGTGCTGGTCGGTGGGCCGGTGAGAATTAGATGGAAACCTTTGCAAACCGGACAAACAAATCTCACGTTGGCACTTTGGACATACCCAGCAATCTGCACTGCGTAAGACTATCAGATGACTATCACTGCTTTTCTGAGAACATTCGCCCCAAGCGCTGCGCTGCTTCATTCCCTGAATGTTCGCCGGTTTTTCCTGCTCTCCGAACACAGCATTTGATCTGTCCCCTGACTCTTTCCTACATGGGAAATTGAACCTTGGTGCGTTTGCCACCTTTTCGAGTCCCAAGGCCCAACGATGTTGAACTTTCACTTTTTACAACCCGAGGATTAGGGCCGAGTGAGGCGATGGGAGGTATGGATGTTGTATGATATTGTCTCGCCCTGGCGTCAGGCAGGCGAGACCGAAAGTGGTACCTCCAAACTTCATACCAAACAAGGCTCAGCTGGTGCAAAGCCAGCAGAAACACAAAACAAAAAATGACGGGGATGGACAACGCCCCCAAACCACTCAAAAGGATATTATCAAAAACTGTGAGCTGTAGGAGAAAACATGCCGCCTGAAAATCAAGTCCCCCAAAGCGCAAACCGACAAAGTTTGAACTGAGCACAAAGTAGAACACGCATCAACCCTCCAGCCTTTTAGACCTCCCAGTCTGAAAGCCCATCCACAAGGCTCCACGGACCAGGAGAAGCCACCTTCACACTGCACGGCCGACACGTGTTAGGCGACACGCCCCTTAAGACCCAGCCTGCCAAGGCTTCGGCTCGTCTTCGGTCCACAAGTCACTTCTGCCGTTTAAGGCAACAACCCCGGTTGACTCATGGGCCCCGCAAAAAATGGGGTAAGACAACTTGATTCTCGCCGTGCTGCTCGAAGGCCGTCATCAGCGCGTTGCAGCTGATGGCGTCCGGGCTAGCCATGCGATGGTAGAGCTCCATGGCCTGACGACTCACTGGATGGTTGACCCCAACCCACGAAGGCACACGCAGGCCACCTGCGCGCACGCACCCTTATACGTGCGCACACGCTTCTGTTCCGCGCATGTTCATGCGCGTGCATGCGCACGCGTGCACACAACGACGCGCACACACACACAAACACACACTAACACACTAACACACTAACACACATACACACACACACACACACACACACACACACACACACACACACACACACACACACACACACACACACACACACACACACACACACACACACACACACACACACACACACACACACACACACACACACACACACACACACACACACACACACACACACACACACACACACACACACACACACACACACACACACACACACACACACACACACACACACACACACACACACACACACACACACACACACACACACACACACACACACACACACACACACACACACACACACACACACACACACACACACACACACACACACACACACACACACACACACACACACACACACACACACACACACACACACACACACACAGACACACACTTGAACTCCAAAAGGAGAGTGCTAATCTTTCGAGTACAACTGATGAGTCTCGAGTACAACTGATGAGTCTCGAGTACAACTGATGAGTCTCGGCTGAGGTCTGCTTGCAAGTCACTTGGCTTCACTTTAGAAACGAAACCGTTACAGGAAAGAACAAGAAGCACAAACAGCGCCGCAACCAAGGGGGCCAAAAGGACATTCAGAATCACGGAAAGCAGGTACAGGTGTCCACGTCTGGACACCCTTCCCACCTTTGGCAATAGCTTCATTGCGTGCAGTATGCCAAAGGTGCTGCACGCCCCTGCTGCGAAACTGAAAGGGTGGTGACAGGGCATTCTGTCACTCCGCACACACACGCCCCTCTACGAGGGGCGAGGTTTCTCTTTTCTCCTGCAGGAAGATCACATGCTCAAACTCAAATCACTATCGTTGGCCAAAATATCCACCACGGCGAGGGGAGCGAGACACTACCCTAAACCGCTCAGAAGACGGGAACGAAAGTTCACAACGTTGAGCATTACGAGTGTCGCCATAGAGGACTGAAGCGATCTGCGAAGCAGCCGGGCGATCACCATGAGAAAACGGAGTGGCATAGGTGAAGGTCTCCTCAACTTGAACGGCATCGGAGTTCCGACCTTGACCAAGAGTCTGATCATGTGAACAGTGAGTTGCGAAGGACTCAATCCGAGACAGAATGCGCTGGTACCCTTGGTGTTGCCAGTCACGGATGTCCCATGCCTGGACTGGTGCTTCGGGATCCGTCACCCGCTGCCATTCACGAAAAGAGTTTTCAGGTAGTTCAGGTACGGCGTCACCACGGTGCCATCGTTGAGGTTGTCCCGGAGTGTAAATCCGCACCCACTCCTGATCATGCCAGACCGAATATTCGAGCCATGGATACTGCTTGGAATCATCGATGTCCATGTCGAGGCAAGAGGCAAGGATGGTCGCGGGCTCCGATCCAGCTAGTAGGTGGACAAGCACCATGCACAACCATGTTCAAACAACAGCAAAGCAAGATCATGCAAGTGGAGAGGTCACCCTTATTTTGTACGCTGCGCTGCTCATGCAAGGCTAGTCTTCAGTGAGCTCGAAGACGGGCCTCATCTTGTCTTGGCCGCTACCGGACGGATTCACGGGCGTGTAGTCGGAGACCCCAATCGTCTCCGATGGTGTGTTGCCACGCGATGCACGTACTGGTTGATGAGGATGAGAGGTCAGACGTGCGCGGGCCGTCAGTTGTTGAGAAATCCCCTCCTGGAGACGAATCAGTTCCTCAGTGGAGAAATCAGCCGCATCCGAGGACCTGAGAATCGCGTCTAACAGCTCCGGCGACATACTCAACGACGCAGACTGCGTGGCCACGTTATGGTGATCGGAGGGATACATGGAATCAAATTCATGACCGGCGTGAGGAGCAGCGATTCTCCGATAGCCCTCCGTGGCCCAGTCTCGCTTGTACCACGTAGTGACTTGGACTTGCCCTTCAACTGAGTCCTGGTTGGGAGCATAGAACTCCCGCCATTCTCTGAAAGTATGCGGAGGAGGTGGAGCATCCTGTTCTTCCTGAGGCGTCCATGGTCCCGGATGAAAGATCTTGACCCACTGGGCATCAGGTTGTTGAGGGTCCGGGCACCATTCCAGCCACGGCATGACAACGCAACCACGGAAAGTCAAGTTGATAGGTGTACGGCTGCAGACAACAACGAGTGAAAGCAAATCAACAATCAAAACGCAAAAGACCACTTTTGTAGCACTGTGCGGCGCCAACATCACAGTCAGACTCTCCAGGGAGGCGAGGACGGGCATCAGCTATCATGTGAATTGGATGATGCCGAAGAGGAGGTCATTCCAGCATACATGAGGTCCGGCGCACCCGAAGCGAAAACTGGCCTCGCTATGCTGGGATGTGGACGGCCCAGGCGTTGGTACCCTCTGGTGACCCAGTCCCTGTAATACCAAGTGTAGAAAGTGGCGTGGGATACCGGTTGCAGAGCCGTGCCTATAGTTGTGCCGCCAGTGCTTTCCCTGGGCCAGTACACTTCGAAGTGGTACTTGCGCCATTCCCGATAGGCGGTCGGGTCATCCGGGGCCGGTCCCAGGGTGTCAGGGGCTACTGGATGCCACTGACCCGGCACATAGATTCGAATCCATTCCACACTCGTTCCTGCTGGTCCATTGACGATGTCATAGTCAAAATAGCGAGGTAGGATGCATCCTGCTGCACCCTGCACCGTACTATTGAACATTTCAACCCGACAAGCTGCTCAAAGTTATCACAGAGAGCGGCGGACACATGGAGACAACATGCACAGCACCAAGCAAGACAACCCAATGAGAACTCACATTCAAAGCACGCACAACCGCATCTTTATCCAACATGCAACTCATGAGTCAATCCGAATTATTCCAAGGATCATAGAATGGTGGCGGTGACGGTTCCCGCCACGCTCCATCAGGTACCGACGAGCCCACCGAGGACTCGATGTCTGCGTTGGCGAGCATCGCGAGTCCGATGGATTGGACAGGGGGTCCAAGTCGTTGGTACCCTCGCGTTTGCCAGTCTCGGTACTCCCACACGTGATAGGACACATAGGCACTGGGCGTGGCAATAGGATCCATTGTGGTGCCTCCGGTGCTGTCTTCAGACCAGTACACTTGGAAGTGGTATGATCTGCGCCACTCCCGAAATGTGGAAGCGTAAAGTGGGTCCGGAACTGGCGCTTCCTCCGGAACGGGCCTCCAAATGCCCGGAGAGTAAATTCGAATCCATTCCACTCCTCTGTCGATCTGGTACTCGAAATACTGGGGGTTCATAGCAGCAATACGGGCTTGCACGACTGCTAAACAAATCGAAAATCTGCGGCAAGGACACACATGCATTGCTAACCGCACACATCCACTGAGGAGCAAGGCAACTTTTCAAACACAAGGTGAAACGGGTCAGCGAGGTCTGAACTGTCTGAAACCTGGCTTTCACTGTCTTTGATGTCGCGCACACCTGCAATGATAGTGACCTGGTCGTCTAGGTGCACAAGGGGAAAGACATTTCCGTCCATGGCGCAGGATGGCGTGACAGTAATGTTTGCATGTTGCCGATGGGGATCGCGATGAACGGCCAGCACGTTTGGAATAAAACACTGTAAAGGGCCGTCGAGATCGCCTCGGCGCTGAAGCTGATGCTGTCCGAGATCGTTTGGACGAGCGCCCTGGACTGCGTGGTACTTCATCACGGGAAGGGTCTGTGTTGTAGATCGAGCGGCGTGTGCGCTGCGAATTCAAAGAGGTAGGGCAGGATTGTCCGCGAGGGGCTGAGATCGAGGTGCTGCGTATCGAGGGCATAAACTGGGGGTGTAGAATCACCGGTGGTGGTGGTGGTGGTGGTGGAGGAGGTGGGAGAAGCAGTGGCAGACTTGGCGGGGGCGGAGGTGACGTAGTCAGCCGAATGGGTCTGTCGAGTAGAGCCCCGGGTCCATGAAATTGTAACCACGTCGGCTGCGCTCCATGGGTCCAGGTAATGTACGTCTGTACAACTTGTTCTGACATGATTTGAGCAACTCAGGAAAGACATCACTGCATGTCAACGACATTTCGCAACACGACAAGCAAGATTGAGTCACGTGCAAGCAAGCAAGTATCATGTGATCAACAACTCAAACCGGACACACCGCCGCCGCTTATCATTTGGTCCATCAATGGTCACTGTTGCATTTGCCGGGCTTGTTCCTAGCCGCGAGCCTCAAGTTGTTGATAGACCTTCCATGCCTGCTTCACTTCCTCAATCGGCTTCTGAAGAAACCGCGCAATGGTCTTATAGGTGGGTCTGGAATCCTTATCTTTCTTCCGTCTCACCATTTCATCCAGCTCGCCCTGTGTCCATGCCGTGAAAGGTTCACGGTATGCATTGCGAAGTGCAATGGTAAACTCTTGCAGAAGTTCCCGAGGACCATGAACCACTGTCGGTGACGGCCGGAATGACGAGGCACCTGGATGCGGATGTATCGAACCATCAGAATCCGAATCAGGTGTCGTGGGCGTCGTCTGTCCTGGTTCTCGTGCACCGTGTGCCGCGAAAGGAGCACGAGGACGAGGCGGTGGCAGTCGATCTAACACAGATTCGGGCCGAGTACCAGGATTGTGTTCACTAGCATCACGATGTGCGGCTCGAGGCGGTGACAAAGCCGGTATGTACCAGGTAGATGACGTGTCCACCGGTCGAGCCCGAATGCGTGTGGGGGAACGAGATCGGTCAGAGGAGGCGAGCTCCGTGATGATGCGGGGCCGCAACCCATGTCTGGAGTTTCTTGGTGCTCTCGGGGTCACCACCGTGTCTGTCGGACGACCACGCTCCGTCATCAAGGCAAAGTTCAGTGTGTCCAAAGCTGTCGCGACTTGGGATGCAAGAACATTGAGCACAGCCACCAGG